CAAGACGTCTCTTTTCCTGCTTTTCTTTCAGTTCACGCAGTTCTTCATCGATTCTCTCTCTTTCAGCTCGGCGCTTCTCTTCGTATTCTTGCATTCTCGCGGCTTCTTCTTTATCATGGCGTTCCTTTGCAGCCTACAACAACTCAGAACTGCTGCTCCTCATTCTTTCTCTGTACTTACAAGCATAGCACGCTCCGCTTCAGTTCTTTCCGCAGGGATTTTCTCCTCTTCTTGTGTAGGTCGGGTTTTGGGGCTAAGAGTATCATTAAGGAAGGAAATTCTAACAAATTGTTAGACTACCCACGTTTCGTCTTTGACAGGGTGTTCTACCCCGTTGCTGGAAAAATGCAGCATTGAAGTGACAAGGACAAAGGTACTTACTCCTCTTCCTCGGCGTCTTCTTCACCTTCCTCCTCAGTTTCTTCCTCCTCGCTTAAACACACATCCAAATATCATGAAAGCTTTATGTGGCTAGTCAAGATACAAATCTACATCAATGAACAAGACTACTTACGCTTCGTTCTCGGACATGGTTGAAAGCCTGAAATTCAATAAATTAATTGACGATACTGCTAAACGCATAATTGTCTAAAGACTGTGAAGGTTGGGCAGTCTGACATAAGAATTTTGTGGAACGAGAGGACAATGGCGAAGATTGGGGTCTGCGAATGCCTCTTCAACCGCGTTGGAAGGAGGAACTTTTGCAAAAAATGTAAATTGGGTGCTAGCATTACAACACAGTGAAAGAACGCGCTGGCGCTGTTGAGCCTTCGTCATAATTCATAACTGCTCAGAATGTATTTCAAGAATAAGTTCATATTAATCAGCATGCCCATCATTAACAACTTCCTCTGTAAAGGAGTTTTTTTGGAAAATTCCAGTCTACTAATTTTTCCATGGCTAGTCATTGGAGGCAGTACGTAGAGGCTGTCTCAGAAGGCATTAGGTTCTACTGATTTGAATGGACGCAAGGGAGAAGGTGTAAACTGAGTTATGCTCACAGAACATATATTCTTTTTAGTGATTAGGTCAATAATCCGGGAAAATCTCCATCGATTTCCGATATTAGTATTAGCTGGCATACCCTCTCCGCCGGGCCCTCTCAATACCACACTACAAACGATGATTATGTCTATGCTTTATCCCGTACAACATTTCCCGTCCCGATTTCACCTCTATGGGACAGTACCACGTCTCCTACTATGGCGCGAAAAGCCTTCATAACTTCTTTCAAAAAAGCAAATAGCAGAAAAGAAAGCCAGGTTTGGAACCAGTGTTCCAAGGCGAGTGTAATGATATAAATTTCATCTCAAAAGGCTACGGACATCGAGTATCGTCCCTTCTCGGAGCAGGACTTTACCGCCGTTCTTAATCGACTCATCCTCGACCTATCAACATTACTGCAAACTTTGTAATCAGCAAACCAGGAAAATACGCAGGCGCTTCTCAAAACGCCATTTTCTAGTTCAAACCTCTATCTATAAAGCAGAAATTGGTACGTTATTGTGCGTGTGTCATGTGTGTGACCTACAGAGTTACATACAAGACACACAACACAATGTTACGTGAAGTCTCAGCTCAATTGGTTTACGCACAACCCGACTGGGGTGTGCGTAAACCGATTGAGCTGAAGCTTCACGTAACACATTTTCGACACCGACGGTCGAGATAGGCCACTTTTTGAGGTGATTTATTGGGTCCTCATACGATTTATCGATTTGTTTACTCGTGTCTACAAAAATGCAAGCTCATTGGGTTTTCACCCAAGCATTTTCCATACGCATCCACCATACTTGATCCGCTTGATTCGCTTCGTCATTGGTTAATTCAGTGAACTGACCAATAGCGAAGGGTTGTCCACTTGGTCCGCTTGATCCGCTTCATCCACTTC